TACATGTTACCCATGAAGGTGCTTGAGTTGAGTAGTTCACACCCATAATTTTGCATGAACCCTATGAGTCGAGCAGTCTTGAGATGAGAAGTATCATTGATTCCTTAAGTTGAGTAGTTCATGCCCATAATTCCGCATGAACCCTTCGAGTCAAGCATTCTTGAGATGAGTAGTATCATTGACTCCTTGTGTTCTGGAGTTGTTGAGTTCCATGTATTGAGTTCTATGCATGGTTATTGAAAACCTTTAATTGAGTCGTTCACGTCCATGATTTAGCATGAACCCTATTTTAAGAAGTCTTTTTACAAATTGTTTTAAAACTTGTTTTAAAGACTTGAGCACTGAGTTGAGGAAGAGTAGAGTAGAGTTCATTTTTAAAAAAATGATATATGAGAACTAAGTATTCCCAAAAGTAAATATTTTTACATTTATGATGAGAGGAAACTTAGATTTCCAAAAGAGTTTTGAGAAGTTTGAGTACCATCTCTTTTGAGAGAAAGACTTTTGAGTAATAATCTCAAAACACAGACAGAGTTATGTTTTTCAATATATGAGCTAGTTATATTTTGAGAGTAGTATTTAGCACCAATATGGGGGAGAGCTCAGACAACTCACAGCCCCCATAAACCATGTAGCCAACGTGGGTAGAAAGGGTCTTACTTTTTAGATGATTCCTTAATGCTTTTAGCATAGACTAGTAGATCCACTTAGTAGTAGGTTCTATACCCTGGCGAAGTACATGACAGTTCTGCTAGCGTGGGCTAGACGTTGTATCATCACATAACTCATAGTGATGGTTGTCGATTAGAGAATCTCCCCCAAAGTTATATTGTATTTTTATATACAAACTGAGTTATTATTGTATTCTTCAATACATTGAGTTGCTATCTACTGTTTTAAAAGCTTTCCATATATGGCATCTTTTATTGTTGCTTTATCGAGAGTTAAGTATCTTATTGTTGAGTTGAGACTTATTTCTCTTAGTTGAGTTGAACTATATTTAGTATCTTATTGTTGAGTTGAGCCTTATTTCTCTGAGTTGGGTTTAACTATATTTCACTTAGTTGATTATCATGTTATTGAGTTGAGCCTTATTTTCTCTAAGTTGAGTTGAACTATTTTATTTGAGTTGAATTAAGTTGAGTGAGTTGAGAAGAGGTAAGTATATTTCTTTTCCATCAGTTCAAGCTTATGTTTATGCTTTAGAATTCCCCTTACATGCTCGTACATTCCATGTACTGACGCCATTTGGTTTGCATCATTTTATGATGCAAATAAAAGTATTCAGGGTTATCAACATAAGCTTTGTTGATACCGCTTGTAGTTCGAGCTAGCTATGGTGAGCTTCCTTGCCTTCTGGAGGATTCCATTTACTTTTCAGTTTTGTTAGGAATTTGTGGGTCTTGTCCCAACTTCCATCCTTGTCATTTAGAGACTTCATAGATAGACAGTAGAGTTTGAGAAGTCTGTTCATTTATTTTGTTAAATGTTTTAAAGACTTGAGTTGCCTATTTTGGCTAGTTGAATATTCTATTATATTTAGAGTTAATCATTTGAGTTAAAGCGTTGTATCTAAATTCTACGAATTTTATCCAATTTTAAGCTCTGTATGCTTGAGTTAGTTTTCCGCTTGTAGTCAGCCAGGATGAGGGTTCACTTGGGGAATAACAATGGTTCTCGAGTGCCGACTACGTCCAGGGTGTAGGCTCAAATTGTGACAATTTTGGTAACCTGATATAATGCAGTGATGAATTAGTTGATGGGTGATATACTGTGAGTTTACGTTATTTTTAATACATTTCACTTAAGAGTTGTGTGTGTCTAGGGCCATTTTGTATTAGAACTAATGTTTATTGTGCTAAATTTGCAGGAAATAGGCTTGGACGTGGTCGAGGGAGATAGAACTGAAATTTTGCAGAAGTGGCCACCCACAGAAGTGACCTACGAACCGTAGGTCCAGTCACAGTCTGTCATCGAGTAGGATCACTATCCTGTTTTTCCTTAACCTCTACTAGCAATAAAGATTCGGATCTATTATTAACTATCACACCACCATTTGACATGTTTGTAAGACCAACTCCTAGGCGAGCAAGTCAGTGAACATCTTTTGCTAATTCCTTCTTTTCTTCCTCAACATGTGTTATACTACCCATAGATAGTCTGTTGAGAGCATCAACAACTACATTGGCCTTACCAGGATGGTAAACCACATTCATATCATAGTCCTTGAGGAATTCAAGCCATCTCCTTTGACGAAGATTCAACTCTTTATGGGTGAAGACATGCTGAAGGCTCTTATGATTTGTGAACACATCTACATGAACACCATACAAGTAATGTCTCCAAATCTTTGGGGAAAATACTACAGCTGCAAGCTCGAGGTCATGAGTCGGGTAGTTCTTCTCATGGACCTTAAGATGTCTAGAAGCATAAGTTATGACCTTACCTCACTGCATCAATGCACAACCTAGGCTGACCCTAGATGCATCACAATAAATCACATAACCATCTAAACCATCTGATAGAGTCAAGACAAGAGTTGTAGTCAACCTAGCTTTCTACTCTGAGAAACTTTTCTCGCACTCATATGACCACTAAAATTTGACTTCTGAGTCAACTTGGTAAGTGGGGAAGCTATGGATAAAAATTCTTCAACAAATCTGCTGTAATAACGGGCCAAACCCAACAAACTTCTTATATCTATTGGAGAGGTGGGTCTAGGCCATTATTTCACTACCTCTATTTTCTAAGAATCCACTCAGATTCCTTCGCTAGATACCATATGACCAAGGAAAGTGACTGACTGTAAAAATAATTCACATTTGCTAAACTTAGCGAATAACTGGCAATCCTTGACAGTTTGCAGAACAACTCTTAAATGAGTCGCATGGTCGTCCTCATTCTGAGAATATATGAGGATATCATCAATAAAAACAATAACGAACAAATCCAAATATTATTTGAACACCCTGTTCATCAAGTCCATGAAAGCTACAGGAGCATTTGTTAGTCCGAAAGACATAACTACAAATTCATAGTGACCATATCTAGTCCTGAAGGTTGTCTTCAGAATGTCACTATCTCTAACTCTAAGCTGAAGATAACTAGATCTGAGGTCTATCTTAAAAAAACAACTAGCACCCTGAAGTTGGTCGAACAAGTCATCAATCCTGGGGATGGGATCCTTATTCTTGATTGTGACTTTGTTCAACTGAGGATAGTCAATACACATCCTAAGAGAACCATCTTTCTTTTTCATGAACAACACTAGTGCACCCCATGGAGAGATACTTGGTCTAATAAAGCCCTTATCTAGAAGGTTTTTCAGCTGCTCTTTCAATTCCTTAAGGTCAGTTGGAGCCATTCTGTAAGTATGAATCGAAATGGGCGGGTTATCTGGAAGGAGATCAATTCCAAAGTAAATTTCCCTTTTGGGAGGAACTTCAGGAAGATCTTCTAGAAACTCATTTACTACTGGAACTGACTCAAGAGTTGGGGTTTCGGTGTTTAAATCCTTAGCCCAAACAAGATGATAGATATACAATTTAGAGATTATCTTTTTTGGCCTTAAGGTAAGATATAAATCGACCTACATGCACTAGGCTACTACCCTTCCATTCTAAGACTGGCTTGTTTGGAAACTGAAAACGAACGATCCTAGTTCAACAATCGACTGAGGCATAATAGGAATGTAACCAATTCATGCCTAGAATGATGTCAAAATCTATCATTTCTAACTTTACAAGATCTGCTGAGGTGACTTTCTAAGAGACTGTGACAAAGCAATTTATGTATACCCGTCTAGATATAACTAGGTTACCAACTAGAGTAGAGACTAAGAAGAATTCTGAAAGAGTTTTTGGACTGACACCAAAGTTTATTGTTATATAGGGAATTACAAAGAAAAAAGTAGCCCCTGGATCTAACATTGCATAAGCTTCTAAGTGAAAGACTCATAAAATAGCAGTGACCACATCAGGAGAATCTTCCTGATCCTAGTGAGCCTGGAGAGCATACAACATGTTCTAGCGGTGACCGCCATTTGTACTAGATGAAGTACCCTGCTGAGTTAGGCGACCTGTTGGTACTACTGGATTTGTAGACTAAGCCTTATTATTGTTACCTTATTGCCCCTTCCTGGTATAAGGGCAATCCTTCAACCCATGGCCAGACTGACCACACCCAAAACACCCTTCCTTGCCTACAAGACACTCACCCGGATGGTTTTTACCACACTTTGGACAAGTTGGAAAGGTCCTGTTACCTGAAGCACTCCCTTGAGAATTAGAGACTAATGCCCTACCTTTTTTATCCTCTCAAAACCTGGGGGATTAATCACTAGTTGTTGAAAGTGTTGGGGTTGTAAACCTCTACTGAAACTGTGAGAGATTCCCACCACTTGACTTCTGCAGAGAGTATTCATAATTCCATGTTCTAGACTTCTTGTTGTCCATAGCCATTTCCCTAAGCTTATTTCCCTCAACCTGCTAAGCATGAGTCATAAGCCTAGAGATATTCATATCCTCTAACAACATAGCATTCCTGCACTCTATCTTCACCAAGTCGCATACCCCAAATAAAAACTTACTCATTTGTGCCCTTGGAGCGGCAACCATACGTGGAGCATACCTGGAGAGCTGAGTGAACTTAGGTCCATATTCTTGGACTAACATGGTACCTTTTCTCAAATTCATGAACTCTTGAGCTTTAGCCTGTCTCAACTCTCTCGGAAAGAACCTGTCCAAAAAAGCTCCAGTAAAGCATTCCCAAGTCACACGAGCTGCATTTGCACCCCTCTTTTCTTTCCACTGAGTGAACCAAACGTGAGCTTCATCCTTAAGCTGGTAGGATTCCAACTCCACCCTATTATTACCAGTTACTTGCATCACTCTAAAGAATTTCTTAACCTCATCAATGAAGTTTTATGGGTCCTCACCAATCTGTGACCCTAGAAATTCAGGCATATTCATCTGAACAAAATCTCAAACTCTAGCTGCCACTTATCCACCATTAGTATTAGTAGGAACTGGGACTTGCCGATTGTTTTGGTTGGCTACACTCTTAGCCAAAAGTTGGATGATCACATTTCGGAATTCTGCATTCGTACCCTCATTGTCCGGGACTGGAGGAATTGTGTTAACATCGTGTGCATTAGCATTCCGTGCATAATCTCTATGAGGAAGCATGATCTAAAACACATAACGATGGATTAGAGAGGAGATCATACCCACGCACTATAAGAAAAGGAAGAAAGTGAAGTTTTTCTTAAAACACTTCGTAGCCTCCCTCTCATTAGATGTGGTGCACTTCACACCCATGAAAAGGACTCCACTTAGTGCGGCTTTCATACATCCTAGGACTCTTGTACCTAATGCTCTAATACCAAGTTTTTCACGCCTTAAGGCTACCCTCTTGATGTAAACACGGATCCTAGGATCACGAGTGACCCCAAGTTAACCCTGAAGTTGGCATATCATAAGCATAATAAAACAATTGAATAAAGAGATACTAGGCGGAAGAGAAAACAAGAGATAACTGAATGATGGGGAATACCCAATACTAATCTAAATATATTTCAAACTACTAAAAGTTAAACTATACTGAACATTCACTCAAATCTAAAGTTGAATCTAATACTATGCCTGAAAAGCCTCTAATTGAGTTGAGTTGAGTTGAGCTACTGGGACATGACATCCAGCTAACTCTAACAAAACTGAAAACTGAACAAAAAGACTAAACTGAAAGCATGTCTATTTTCCTCGTAGTATGAGGAATCACCACTGAAGCTTCTAAAATGCGGACCAAGAATCGATCTAAGCATGATTTGGATGTTGAGTACCTTAACCTACATCATGAAAGGATGTAGCATAGAGCATGTGTCAGTACTTGGAATGTACTGAGAATGCAGAATATAAATGATAGCTGAACAAACATAACAGAGCAATGTCATAATCTGAATAGAAACATAGATACTGAAATATAGATGAAAACTGAGCTAAATTGAATGCAATGACCAAGTACTAATCATGAAAGTAGCATGTTGAACTGATTTTATATGTATATGTTGAAAACCTGGTCAAATTTAGTAAGAGTTTGAGTGTGGGAGCTACTTTTAACTTACATAAAACCACGTGAGCTAAACATGGAATCCTATGTATACGCCCCATCAAGAGGATCCAATATACCTTGCCAGGAGTATAAAGGCATGACTGGCGTGAACACTAAATTTGATACCCAACAAAGGGGACTTATAAGCCTACGAGAGCACGTAGTTCTGTGACTATGAGGGTACGCTAAACCCTAGTCCAACTCGGTGCTAAGCCAACTCCCAACTGGAAATGTGTATGACACAACATAACTGAAATACTGGATATCTCAATATTCTAACATGCAACATTTAAGTACTGACAATGAAATATTTGAAACTGGAGCATGTATATCGGTTTAACTGACCTAGAAAGTGTAATTCATGAACTAAGAGAATATACACAACTAGGGTTCTAAGTTTCATGCAAGGAACTAAGCAAACTTTTTCACAAAAACATGATAATCTGATTAAGAATACTATAACAGCTAAATCACAACCAATATCTAAGGTTTTAGAAACCCCAAGTCTAAGCAAGATATAGTGAATCAAGAATCTGATTGAATTCTTGGGACCTAGTGGATGAAAGGAACCCACTAGTGAAATCCCACATACCTGGTGACGAAATCTACGGAGAAATCCTTCCATTTCGGGCTGAAACTTGAAGAACACTGTTGCTTGTTTTTTAGAGGTTTGGTCAACTTTTTAATCGTCTTTCTGCTCCTAGTTTGGATGATTTTTGGTGAATAAAGGTTTTGGGTCTGTCTGACTAAGTTATTAGGCTTAAACTGGGTAAAACGACATAGTTTAGGAACTAAACGATGAAGTTTAAGTGCCCAACGCATAGGAAAAAGACCTAAATGACTCTAACTTAAAACCTAACGAAGGCCACCCACGGAGGGACCTACTGGCCGTAGGTCAACCTACCAATCGTACGTAGGAGTCATAGGTCAAGCTCTGCCCGATAGGACCTCACTAAAACGAGCATAATGTTTTACTCCAAGATGGAATTTTAGCAAACTCAGTGGTATTGGAAAGAGGATTCAATTATATTTCATTGGGTAGGTCATGGGCCACCTAATTCCTTTTGTGTTAAAAGTTATGACCGTTTGAAGTTGACCCAATAGCATATTCCGCCTAAAAGGTTGTTGAACCTCACCTACGAACAAACCTACGATCCGTTGGTCCAACCATGGACCATCATGGTCGACCGTGGGTGGGGTTAGAGACTATAAACATTTGGTGCCAAACGATGGAACCCCACCTACGGTCCATGGGTGGTTTCGTTAGTACTCGCACCAGTTTTCTGAAAACTAGGATTTTTCTTCATTTTGAGATGTGTGGTGTTACATTATGTGTGAGCTAAGGAGTCTTATTTTTGTGTGAATTTCATAATAAAAGGTAGATGAATAGTTACTAGTATGGATGAGTTAGAGTATACTTTAACCAGAAGGGATTTTATGTCAATGTAACATTGTGTTAGTGAAGGCCAAGTATAGGTGTCGAATAAAAGAGCAGAGTATTCACGAGGTGATAGATCTAAGCTAGATTTATATATTATTTTGGGAGAGTCATGTGGTCGTAGGGTTATAGAACTAATCTGGTAATGATGTATAATAAATATGTAAATAGTATTTAAGTTGTGAAAGGGAATATGATGGTAATATGTAAATAGGTAGGTTGTGAGATAAAGATTGAACACTTTTCATAAGGTCTTAGTGGGCGAGTTTTTCTTAATTTTATCTATTAGTCGTAAACTAGTATAGTATGTGATCGATTATATTGGTATATGTATTTACTACTAGACACTAAGCTTGAATTTGAGATGAGTATCATGATAAAAATAATGGCAACATGAGGGTGATGATGTTAGTTTTGAGATCTGATGTAGTAGGTTTGACATGAAGTAGGTGAGGAATTAAGGTGTTACTATGCAATAAAAGTGAGTGAAACAAGTGTGGTATTTGGACCCATAGATGAGAGCAAAGAAGTGTGGATAAGTTAGTAGATTAACAAGAACATTAAGAGGTGTACCCGAGATCGTATGTAGTTAGATGAGGTTCCAATTAAGTTTATGATTTTTCATGAGTGCCTATATAGTAAATTTGAGTTGTCAATATGGAATAGGCTGATTTAAGCACTATTTTTTCCTTAAGAGTTAGATTAAGCGACTTTATAAGTCAATGTGGGTAATGGTTCTAGAAAGTCTTTTATAGAAGCTGGAAGAAGTTACGAGGAGTATATTAGAAAGAAGCCTTTGAAGGAATCTTAGTGCCTACATGTGGAAAGTTTAGTAGCAATGAGAGTAGCATTTCCTGAGTATTGGGGTAAAGCAAATGTATAATAGTTTAGAGAAGATGAAATAAATCCATAGTTTTAAAGTGTCATACTTAGACCTAATGGGGAGATGATATGGTGAGAAACCAAGTCAAGTGTGGAGAATCATATAGTGACGTATTTAGAAAGAGTTGTAGTGTTACATTAATCAATTCATACTCTAGCGTATTTCTCAAAGTTCGGTGATTATAACATCCTGTTGATGTTTATAATATCCTAATTGTGTCTATGATCCATGCTTACACACTTCAGATAGATTCAAACCCATGCTCAATTCCCAGAATGAGGGGCAAAGACTTTAGCCGATTGATCTCAATCTTACCCCATAAAGTTATGGATATCCACCTTATGATATGAATCTATTGTAACACCTCGGACTTTGAAAGAGCTAAATTGAGATTCGTTCAAGTTACTCTTCAATTCTGAGTTTTGGGTCAACTCAAACGACCATAACTTTAAACACAAGGTGAGTTAGGTGGCCCATGATATATCAAATTGATGTTTGTTGAGTCCTCTTTCCAACGCCGCCAAGTTTGATAAATTTTGAGTTTTGCTGAAGGAGATATGCATGTTTGAGTGCGGCCTGTCTAGTTAAGGTGTTTTCTTTTGTTTTAAAGAGAGGTATTTTAGCCTTTTTCTTACCCTACTATCCTAGCACGTTTTATAATCATACTAAGTAAGTTCTAAACATTCCTAAAGCGTTTAGAAGGCTAGGACAAAGTTCAAGAGGAGAAACGAAGAAAGTTTCCAGCGTTCATCTAGTTTTGAGAATTTTTGCAAAGAATTTGGTTCTTTTGAGGTATGTAAGTTTTCATAGTGTTAGGTTTGTTCACCCTCACACCAATCATGAGTTTCCAATTACGAATTCATCCATCAGATTGTATATATTGAGATTCTTGTTGATTTCTTGAGGCTTTGTGTGTCATTCTTTAAAAATGGAGTTTTGTTGAGTTCTTGAGGTTTTTTGGGTGGATTTTCTATTAATTATGTTGTGTTTATGAATCTAAGGGATTTTGGAATAAATCAATTGATTCTAGCTGAATTAGGACCAAAAATCGAGAAGAAAAATTCGTCAGGACGTTCTACGAATAGGCTGGGGCGGCGCGCCCCCGTAGCACCAGGGGGGCTAGCACCCAAAGTCTTTCGTGTGCTCCAAACCAGCCTCAGGCAACTGAGGGCTGGCGTGGAGCAGCGGGGCACTGATGCGCCAGGGGCGTCGGGCCCCCTTCCTCCTTTGTTCTTTGTTCCGTATGTGTTCCTTTGAATCATGTCTTCGCTCTCTTCTTATTTCCAACTATCTAAGTCTTCATTAATTATTGAGAGATCATATATATCGTAATCATATCTCTTAAATCTTCATTTCACATCAAAGTAAAGATTAAGAGTAATGTTCGAGGAAGTCCTTTTTAGTCATTTTGATAAGTCTTCTACAATTACTTATAATTTGTTTTAAGACTTGAGTAAATGAGTAGGAGAATGAGGAGAGTGGAGTTCATATTCCAAAATGAGTATAAGGGAACAAATTATTCCCTAGTGTAAAAACATTTACATTTAAAATGAGAGGAAACCTTGATTTCTAAACGAGTTCATAAGGAGTTTTAAGTATTATCTCTTTTAAGAGAACCCTTTGAGCAGTTATCTCAAATTGAGGAGGATTTATATTTTTAAACATATGATCATGAGTTATATATTATTGGGAGTAGTATTGAGCACTGATATGGGATGAGTTCAGACAACTCAAAATCCTCATAAACCATGTATGCCAAC